GTTCCAGCTATGTTTCGCAGCTTTAAGCTTCCTCAGCTGTTACGAAAAGGGTCACATTTACTCAGCATTAGATCGGTTTACGTTAGGGAAAAAAGCTAGGAAAAAGCTAGGCCACGCTTCCATCTTCATTTACTGTAAGGTCTGTCTTCGTTTTCTAGGGGTTCACAACACGCGTGATTCGATTAAATGTTGTATTCGGTGCTAATTTCGCCGATGGTTTACATTGGGGTCTTAGGACTCACATTTTCGTTTTTGAGGGGTCTTCGGTCTTCGTTTTCTAGACACCCCAATACTCCCAATGTGGCAGTGGTTGCCACTCTACTGCTGGCTTATCTGCACCTAAAAAAATAAATAAATAAGGCTAATAAAATGGCAAATGGCATGGGTCATGTTGCAGTTCTAGTAAAGTCTCACGTGAATGGCTTGAAACCCTTTGAGAGGACAATAGAACAAACAACAGAAACAATGCCCTCTAGCCCCAAAACAATAACAGTTGCTGCAATGACCACAAATAGAGTTACAAGCTTACAAGAGCTGCTACACTACTGAATGGCATAGTCTGATAATTCTTAGTTTATAAACTCTAACCTATCTGTAGAGCTACACAGCATGTAAGTTGTGTTTTCTGTCATTTCATTCATGATGCAATTGAGGCATTATCTGGCCAAACAATTAGTTTACCGTGCTGTCTGTTCGATTGCTTATTTTTGAAGTTCCTTGCAACTTTCAAATATAAATATTTGTAATGACGTTTTTAGGCCCAGTGGACTGAAGGAAAACTGTACTGCCCTAAATGCAAGAGCCGCATTGGAGCATTTGACTTTATTCATGGAATACAATGTAACTGTAGAAAGTTTGTAATACCTGCTGTCTGGATTCAGAGAAGTAGAGTTGATCTTATTATGCCAAGAAACCTGGCAACAAGTCTTGATATTAGGAAACCTGTCATCAGTACCGATCAATCAGCAAGGATTCATTCTGACACTTCAACAGTAGTTCATAATGTGGTGCACTCATTTGGTGGCAATGATCAAGAGTGTGCTGGTCAACACTTGAAAGGAGATAGAGACATACCACAGTTCACATCATCTCCAGTTCGCTTGTGTTCCAATCCTCCTGATGAGGGAAATGAAGGGAAGGGTGGGTACATGTAGAAATGTTGAAAGTACGGACATATTACTTACTTATTAAAAGGGAACTTACTATGGAGATGGGTAACTTGCAAGATATACATCGCTCAAGGACAAAGACGGTACTCTACACTATTGAGTCATGTATGTTAACTAATATAATTTGCAAGTGTGCTGGTCAATAAAAGCTACATTTAATTATGTACATTGTTTTGCAATTCCTATTTTTTTGTATATTATGGTCAAAAGCAGAAGCTCAGCAATTTAAACAGTTGGGTAACAAGTGTCATTTATTTTTTATGATTATAACTGTATTTATCAATAACCTACACTACCAATTCAATTAAAGGATTAGCTGATTGATTGATTAGTGGCCAATCATCTTTGAAGCACTCAAAACCTTTGAGAGTCATACTGTTCAAAAACATACAAGTGTGGAACAATGACAATAAAGTGGAGGCCAATTGCCAATTGCCAATGTGGCTTGTGCAAAGACTTATGCTGAATACGCTCAGCAAATGAACTATGTCACCCTATAATATTGAGTAGGTACCCAGCCTAAAGTAGAATTACTCCCAGGTAAAACTACAGCCTAAATAAGGAACCGCTATATAGCCTGATGTTACAAAATATGTTCATGTTCAAAAATTTACATTCGTGCAGTGGCTGTACATACCTTGGTACATAATTTGGAATCACATCAGTAGTCTAATAATGCATCCCAAAAAGAATCGAGGCACATGAATTAAATGCAGATGAATGTGTAACAGAGCTGACTGAGTGTACAATTTATTTTCCTTTGTAGATATATCTACACATAGTCATTATAACAATGGCCAAGCTGAATCTTCACATAATTCTTGTCCAAGAGTCTACAGGGAATCTACATCCAGTTCTTGTGGCATAAGTATTCCTCTAGAAAGAAATGCTTCTTCTTCACTGCCAGGTACAGATTCATGTTCATCTATGTCTCTGGAAATTGGTTCTTGCATCACTGACCAGTGTGAAGAGTGCTGTGGTGTTAGATCGCATCAAACATGTCCTGATACAGGGAATGGAAATTCAACAGATGCTGATCAAAGAACTCAAACATTGTCTCATTGCAGTGTATGTTTGGATGCACCAGTGGAATCAGATTCTTCAGCAATGGAAACACGGCACATTCTGGACAACAAGGGAAGTTTTGAGCAGAGATCTAGAAGGAAACAAAAACGAAGGCATCATATGTCAGTGGAAAATACCGACCTACACTTACATGCAGACTTGGCAATTGAGCCACAGGTTTCCCATGCTGGAGATCAGAAGACTTACTACAGTTGTTTGATTGTTGATGAAGGCTTTGATGAAACAATGACTGGACTAAAGGTACACACACTTACTACAAATTTGGGGAGTTTTATTTATTCAATTTAATAATGAAAATGAAATATTTTAGTATTATGGACTTCATAGCCTGCATAACAAACATTCTTGCACAAAGCGCTTTTTCTGCATTCTGACCCCGCACAAACTGGAACAAGAACATAGAAAAGAATGAAGCAAGGGGTGGTGAAGTGCTGAGCGAGTCGGCATCTGTATCAACCAGTTCCACTGTAGTTACTAATTTGTACTAAAAGAAACTGGGATAAACTCTTACAGTGTGAATCACTTTGACTTGAGTAGAGACTATAGCAGGAGCGTAGCTGCGGGGGGAGTGGGGAGAAGGCGGGGGTGCCTGTGACCCCCTTTTTGTAAGCCTTTAAGCAAACAACCTACAACAGGTGGCAAAAACCACATGACAATCTGATGAGTACCCTCACTTTGACACAGTGGGACCCCCCTTTTGAAGAATCCTGGTTACCCCCCTGTATAGGGTTTTTTTGAGAACACTCTGGGTCTTTACATACGCGTACATTGTATAGACCTTGAAAAAAATCTGTTCCTAGTGTTATTTCATGGTTGTAATCCTCTGTTTTTTGATATTCAAGGTTGTCAATCGTGAATATCAAGATCAACACTGCTGTGCTGTGTGTTTGGATCTGTTGTATGAACCATTCAAGTGTTCTTGTGATCACGTATTCTGTGATCCGTGTTTACGCCAATTGAACTTCAGGACTGGCATTAGAGGAACAATAAGATGTCCTTTGTGCAGGCAAATAGTGCAGCACATAACACCAGCCACAGGTACACTGAAAAACTAGATTCTCACTGTTTTGTAGAAATGGTGGTTATAAGTTGGCCACTGACTTGTTAAGATAGATATAAATACCATATTGACTGACCGACTGACTATAGTGATGATCATGGCATCAATTCATTTCTTTAACTGGTAACTTGTTCCTTCAAAACAACTCTTACAAATTTAGATCTGTTTTTGTGTAAACACTGGCTACATCCACAGCCATTCCCGAGCTGTAATTGTGCGACTAAGTAGTTGACGTTTGTGTTGTTCTGTTGTTGTAGAAGTCAGAGGTGAGATCAGGAGAACATATGCTTCACATATTCTCAGGTACGATCGGATGATCCTGTTAAAGCCAAAAGCTGTTTCACCAATATGAAGTTGAGTGTGATTTCCATGTGGTTATTACTGGAACAGAAGCCACAAGCTGCTGATATTCGTTTATTGTGTTACATTTCAGGAAACGTGACAAAGCTGAGCGTCGTGCTCCACACAGAAAATGGCCCCTTCCTGCTAATCAAGGACCTTTGCGGAGAGGTGCGTCACGCACACGAACTGTCACGCTACCCTGTGTTATATCTACTTTTCTTACGTGTGCATGCGTGTATACACTTGTGATGATTGCACTGCTATCCAACCTAGCTGGAAATAATGTCATTACAATGTATTAGGTATTACTAATAACAAAGGTCTCGCACGACAATTGATAATAATTTTGAATTGTATTTTTTTATATACGTAGTATTTTTTTTAGAGGGCTACAAGTTCCTTAGTTTTATATCTATAGGACTAAGTGTCACTCCCTTAAAAAAGGGTTTGATTGTCTTATTTTCGTACAACAATACGGTTAAAATTGAAACAGAAATCTGGTGGAAAGAGAAGTTTCACAAGGATAAACAAACGTGAAAGAATGTACATAAAGAGGTACAGAAGGCAAACTAAATTACATTTGTAAAATTCCTGGGTGCGACGGTAAGACGAAATGACGGACTAACTACACATACAAAAAACGCTAAGCTAAGGCAGCTAAGGCGCTGCCCGAAAATCCTGTTACAGGGCCGAGGACAAAGTTTTTCTCTATACAGGCCGACAAAAGCCGGCAAATAACGCTTTCATCATTATTTTTTCCTTGTAAAAAGTGCCAAAATTGATAGCGGACTATTTTTGAAATCGCGTCAATACACAGAGGAAAAGAGCGATTCAAATGCCGTTGCATACTCCAGAACGACGACAAGATTTTCGCCTGATAACTTTCATCATCCGAATCCATGTCTCTTTACTTCTGTTTTTTGGCGTTAACAAGTCCTTCACAGCTTAAAGTTAACCAAGTTTCTTGCAAGGGGATATGAGGCCCCGGCCACACTGCACCGGAGAAATTCAGTGAAAAGGAGGTTTCACTCTGAATTTCTATCCACATTCGCCTGAGAAATTTAACACGCAACAATCAGCGGTGATTTTGGATTTGTGTTTAACACAGGCAGGGGAATCTCATGGTTATCATGACGTCATCGCTTTCGCAAAGCTCTGTTTTCAAATTGTATTCCGTCCGCACGAAAACGAAAAGTCGGTGTTTTCAAATGCCTCCGGTTTGAAGAGCGTTTACGAAAAGCTCCGTTTTCGTGACGGATTAGTGTGGACGGTAGACCTAACCGGAGAAATGAAGCTGCGTTTTCAAATTTCTCTACCGTAGTGTGGACATTAAACCATAAACAAGACAATACAAATCACATACATTGCTTGGAGTCAAAGTAGTTGTTTCCAGAAATTTATTTACATTCATCGTTGGATCAAATTTACATCTTATGAGTTCTGTCTACAAAGCTACAAACCTATATATTCTAGTGACATTACTTTTTATTTATCAAGCATCAATTGTGTCGTTGCAGGGTAACTTTTTAGCTACTATTAAAATAAAACTTCCCCAAATTTTGTTTACGTGTGTTTTTAATCCCTGCACTCTTTGTTACTTGTACAATGACGTCATCGGGCCCCGCTTGGCCCATTGTCCTGACCAACCAAACCAAAAGTCCCGCAAATGAGAATTTAGTTGAGTTTACGTAGCGGTATAGGTCTGTAACAGACCTAAATCAAAGCGTTTTTTTTAACAATTAATATAATTTAAGAAGTTGAAGCTTTAAATCCACGGGAAGGGGAACCCATAGAATACGACTGTTATAATCAATGAAAAAAAAATCAGGTTCTGTAATTCTAGGGAGAAGATCAATGGCTGGCTAATGGTTATCTGATTGTTGGTAATGGAGTTATGCTTGTGGCTATCTGATCTATTTATACAAACGCATTTTATCTTAGGCAATGTTTATATCCTATATGTCTTTCCTGTGTGGCTTGAAGCGTTATGCATAATGTATACATGTACTAAAATTCATCGACCACTGTTTGAGGTCGTTTGTGTCCGTTCTTCACTGCTGTCCCTTATTTCAGGTTTATACAACATCCTCGGCTATAAAATCAGCTAGCGCTCTTCGGATTCTCTCTCTCAGCTGCCTCTTGTTCGTAGAAGACACGATCTCTTGTAACATCGGCGATTTCTTTAACTTATGTTCTTGTGCTTCAATGACTGACTTTCTGAGGGGCAGTTTCTCCACAATGTCCTCCAGTCTTTTGATGGCCTCAGTGCGAATTATCTCTTTATTACCCGGGTGGTCTTGGGCAAAGTTAATCATTTCTTGTTTGACTTGGGCGATCCTGCCTGAAAACAAAACAAAAAAAATATTAAAATAGAATGAAAGGGGAAACTGTAGGAATAGTGCTAAGCTTCATGAGGTTAAGTTTGTGTAATTAGTTAGCAGATAAATACTAAACAGCGTTCTACGGATTTCATATTTTCGTAACTTTCTCTCTAGAGTTTATGGTGTCTACGTGCTTTGAAAAATCGTAAATCAAGGGCTCGGCTACAAGTGTAGGCAAGTTATGGTGGTCACTTTAATATCAGGCATTTAACCGGCTTGGTTATACTTGCCTACGAGTAAGATCAGTAAATTTAGTTGGTTTTTACAAGCATTTTTGGCTTACAACAGGACAGCGCTCGTCTCTGGTATCCGAAACCTGAGGCGAATAACTCGTTTTCACTTTCAGCTTTCAGCGCTTTCACTGTTTGTGTCAAGTTGCCCTAAACAGGTCGCCGTAACCCATTTCTACTCCTGGTTAAAGAGAGAATAGAGGTACTACGCAAATAATCTTGTCTATAATCGCAATACAGTGACTCGGACCCGAGCTTCAGCCAGACCGTAAATACCTACACAGCATGGAAACAGTTATACGATAAATAAAGTGTGAAAAAAAAACGGAATTTTTTTGCGCCTGATAGGTACATTATCTATGAACACCTACTTCTAACGTATGCAATCTCTGCATCTTTAATAAAAGCGGTCTCCTTTTGAAGCAGATCAGATCTCTGCTGTTCGTCGATATTAAGATCCTCCATTAAGTCCAATGCAAGCTTAGTAGCGATAGCTTTATGGTGCTCTGGAGTTAAACCGCCAACCTCCGTGAGGGCGTCAGCATAGCCTTCCAGTGCCTCAACATCTGCAAAGATAAAACAAGGCCACATTAAGTTATGTACTTCAAACATCGTGATCGATTCGACCATTCTTGCGTTCTCCGATCTCTGAAAATATAGAACAAGTTCTTGGCTTCCTCACAGGCGTGGCCATCAGTGATCGTGAAAGATATCATCCTCTTTCAAGTTGAAAACAGCGTTTGTTCGTTAATATTGATAGCTGGTGTTAGAATGCGATGTGAAATGTAATAGTGTCTTCAAAGAAGCCAAGGATAATATCTTCAGTTTAAATTGCTGTACGTTTTATCAAACCGCTTGTAGGTGAATTGTGGTGGCCCCTCCAGCAAAATATTCCCACTTCTTGTCTATTACACTATCCGGGAGTGAAAAGTGCTCCATATTTAGCTAGTGCATTATACATATATACTTAAGGTTCTTAGTGCCATCTAAAGAAAATACCTTTTTCGACTTCTTTGGTAGCTTTTTCTGCATTTTCCGAGGGAACAGACCTCTTAAGTGTGTCGGCAAGCTTCAAATTTGAAAAAAAAAAAGAAAGAAATGATACATTGGCGGTTTGCTTAATCAAGCTTAATTCAATTTTGCAAATTATAGACTTCAATGGAAAAGAATGTTAAATTGACAGCGTAACGTACCTGGGAAAATTCCTGTTTTTCTTTTAGGTTGAGATTTGCTGACTCGGCATCAGAAGCGGCACTGTCATCTTTAATTTAATTACAAAAAAGTAATTCAATCACTATTAACATTTTACTGGCTTAGTCACTCTTCGCCTATTATGTAATAAGACACAGCAAAAATAATCCTCGCCTTGCTCCTCAAGATGAGCTATCTTTTGTTGACATGATGAAATAAGTTGTTTTTGTTGGTCATTTTCCCACCTTCTTGGATTTCACTATTGTCTCGTGACAAAATGTGAAGGGGATGATGTAAAGTAATAATAGAATGCAACAAGTATAAATTCTGCAATGGTACGCAAGAAAAGTGGGAAAAAAACCCTGAACAATTCTTTCAAAAAGGATTAACTCTGGCTTGACCTGCATTTAAAAATGCGGTTACAATGGCCATTTCAAATGATGCAGAAGGATATGTGACACATCAAACTTTCTGTGTGATAAATGAACAGCTACTGAAAGTTACAACATCGCAGAGTGAGTTCTCTCTTCAAAGTTTTGATTCTTCCTCCACAACCTCGTTCCCAGGGTCTCTCATCTTACCGCCCCCTGGTCCTCGCTCGCTCCAGGGGGCGGTAAGATAAGAGACCCTGGAAACGAGGTTGCCTCCCCCACCCTTTTTTGAATGTCTGAAGGTTAATAGTACAAAAACAAACAAACAAACAAAAAAAAACATCTAAAACAAATTAGACAAATACATAGTATGATTTACTAAATAAACCATGTTGGTAAGATTATGTTTAGCTAAGTCGTTATCTTAATCCTGAACCTAAGTTCACCAGGTTCATGGTAAAATAACACTGTACTCTAAGTAATATTGAATACGAAGCTTGAACACCAACAACAAAATTAACAGCAACAACAAACAACAGCGTTAGAAATTTAATAACAACAGCTACAACGACGATGACGACAACCAAAACTACAATAACGGCAAAACCGTTGATTGGTGACCTAATTATAGTCGTTTCACAGATTTTATCTTACCCCTGCCAACCTTTATTCATTTACAGTCATACCTTGGGTCCAGATATCGTCCAAAGCACTTTTCATTTCGGGTTTTTCAGCAGGCTCCTAAGAAAAAGTGTACGATTATAAGCTTCGGCGAAGTGAGTAAAACAAGTTACTAAATACTTCGCCGCTAGCGTTATATCTGACACATTGCTATTTCGTGAGGGACCCATCACACTCTTACTCTGATTTAGATCTGTACTATCTCCCAAATTTTCTATTTAGTGCTAACTTGGCGCAACGTGTGTTTAGTGATATAGAACGTTTTTACTCACGTGGCCGGCAGCCATGTAAAGTTATTGGATTAAAAGAACGTGTTTACGTAAGAAACGAGTTCAACTCCCACTGGAGTTGATACACCAGCATGGCTGCCGTTTTGATGTTTTGGAACACCAATATGGTTGTCGTGACGTCATGGGAAAACGCGCTATTCATAAAGAATGATGATCTCTCAGAGGGTTGCTTTCATTTTCCAATCGTTTCAATTTAATCTTTCCTACTTTACAGAGAAACGTACGGAAAACGTACATTGATTTGGCATACCAAATATGAAACATTGAACTTAAAATGAAATTATTGATGGAGGGCGAGGGTTAGAGGGGGGTCAGTGACCAAAACAAAGATTTATGTTGTCCATTACGAGGATGTCCAGGATTGGTAGGGGGGAAGAAGAACAAGGCAACATTTTTTTAAAGAGATCATACATGGTTAACTGGTTTCATACCAAACTTTTTCCCTAATTTCTGGACTTACTCGCTTAACATAGTTTGTAGTTTGAGACTTGTCTCTCAGGGCCAGCTCTTCTCCTGAGCCTGAGGCATGCACTTCGCCGTCTGCCAAAGCAGTAAATAAATTCTTTAGCGCAGCACCAGTCTTTTTATCTTTATTTTTTTCCGTCGCCTCATCGCTGACTGGAGCTTCTTCGGTATTCTGAGGTAAACTGTGTTCAATGTCAGACTTCCTTTCAATTTTATTATCCAGTGCTGCTTTTGCGAAGTCACCCATTGTGTCAGTGATTACTTTGCCTCTCTTACTGCTGTCCTGTCCTGCGCTTCCTTCTTCCTCGACAACAGAGGTGTCTTCATTGTTGCTGCTATCTTCCTCAGCGGTATCTTCATTGTCATCATCGTCATCTTCTGTGTCGTCGCTGTCCCTCGAGATATAGTTTCGCTTATAAATTATTGCTTCTCCCGATTCGCTCTCTCCTGACTCGTCATTTTCGCCCGACTTGATAGAAGATTCAGGTGAATCTGCCGATCCCGATGAATCTCTTGATTCTATAATGTCAGTGAAACAAATGCACAAATTTTGTTCATAAAGTTCTATCTATAATTCTGTCATAGAAATACGTCTAAGAGAACGGACTAAAAGCCTTACTTCTGTTACTCGATAGAAATCCACACCAGCACGAGCTGTTGATGTATTGATGGTACAAGGGAACAGAATTTATTTTCGAGTTAGGTTTAATTTTTCTTTTCTGGGAGTATATTATTTGTTTTCTCTATCTCGTAAAAGTTTGGAAAAACTCGAAAAGGTTGCGGGAACACCCGCGCGGATTCCCACAGCATGTCCGCTTCTCCGAAATCCCCACTTGTTTCTCTATATTTCGATTGAAACGCTAAAATCATTTTCAAGTTCTCAAATAGTAAAACAGAACAAGCGGGAGCAATTGACAAAATGGTTGTGCGAGCAAAGAGGATTTACATTGTGATAATTAAATTAAACTTTAACCTTAATTGGAAACAATTTCTCAGAGTGTTTCTATTGAGTTATTAAGCACTCCTGAGGTGAATCAGTTCATTGAAGTCGTGGAAACACTTGCTTTTGGCTCATGCCACCACGACATTTCTTATTCCCCAAACTTGTAATTGTGTTTTCGTAATGACAAGGAAAATTTTGCTATTTCCTAATTTTCATACTGAGTATCAGTAAAAGACTCATTTATTTTGTTTTTCTAATAAGTGCTCTCGTGTACACATTGAATGATAAGATGTGCACGTACCGTGTTGCTCCTGAGGTATATTACTGCGCTTGGCAATTTCCCCATCAGCTGACTCACCGGAAACCGCTGAATAACCGGACTCGCCACTCTCTCCACTCTCTCCACTCTCTCCACTCTCGCCACTCTCGCCACTCTCGCCACTCTCGCCACTCTCGCCACTCTCGCCACTCTCGCCACTCTCGCCACTCTCGCCACTCTCGCCACTCTCGCCACTCTCGCCACTCTCTCCGCTCTCTCCACTCTCGCCGCTCTCGCCAGTCTCTCCACTTTTAGCAGATTCTTCAGACTCTGACAAATCTGCAACGTAGACAAATAATCGGTTTAGGCACAAAATAGATGATAAATATTATTCATTCATTCATTCATTCATTCATTCATTCATTCATTCATTCATTCATTCAGTCAGTCAGTCAGTCAGTCAGTCAGTCATTTAGGTATTTGGGTATTTAGAAGACACAATTGATCTACGGACTGTCTGTGGCCGTCTTCGCAGAGTGCGTCATAGTCGATAAATACAGTAGTGTTTATATCTCGAGAAAGTCGTATAGGAAAACAAAATATGACTTGGCATGCTTTCGCGGCAAACCAGTTATGACTAAACAAAATGGCGAAGGTTACTCCTGTTTTAGTCTTGAGCATGAATTATGCACAAGCAGCATTTACTACGATTTCAATCCACTGACTTGAAGTCGTAAAATTTCCGATTATGGAATTGCAGAATATTATTTGTTGCATGAGAAAAACCAAAACTTCAGAGGACCTCAAAGGTTTTTGAAAGATACTTGTAAAATATGATCCTGGTAATATCACTGAATATTGCGCATGAGCATCTGTGTAACAGGATTGAGTGCGCATGAGTGAGAAAGATCATAGGCTCGACGCCATGTTGAAAGAGAGCAACAAGTTACATCATCTGTGTTGAATTTATTCTTAACATAAAGATTGTAACAGCATCCTCCAAATTAAAGATAGCTACATACTCAGACTAAGACAAAGATATTTACAAACCATATTGCTCCTGGGGTATTTCGTTCCTCTTTGAAATCGCTTGATCTTCAGATTCACCAGATTCGCCGCTCTCCTCAGATTCCCCGCTTTCACCGGATTCGCCGCTCTCCCCAGACTCTCCACTTTCCCCAGATTCGCCGCTCTCCCCAGACTCACCACTTTCACCGGATTCGCCGCTCTCCCCAGACTCCCCAGACTCTCCACTTTCACCATATTCGCCGCTCTCCCCAGATTCCTCACTTTCACCAGATTCAGCGCTCTCCGCAGTTTCCTCACTTTCGACTGATTTATCTGATTGACCATTTTCCCCGGACTCCTCCGCATTTCTCTCGTTAATGGTCGATTCATCTGAGTGGTCTAAAATTGTATGGAGATTTTATATTGATAATAGAAGTTTAAATTATTTCTTGCTCTATTTCACGGTATGTTCACAATACCCTCCTTCACGGTAAACTTATGTCGATCACGCTGTTAAAGCAATCCGCAAAGTTCGTCTTTTGTAATCCGTGTCAATCTTCACCATCCTTAACAATCCTTGTTCCTTTATGGTCTACTATTATCTCTTTGCTGTTTTTCCATCTTAGTGAACTATTATTTTCAGGTTTTCTTCAGTTCAAGGTAGTTCTGTACGCGGCCAAAATAACTCAAAATACCGTAATTAAGCTCCTTTAAAGGTTGTTAGATAAGCGATTTAACTATTTACCTATTTATTAGGTTTGTTTCTGTTTACCTTCTTTGTCCTCTTCTACCGGTATCTTGCTTCTTTTCGATAATTCTCCCTCTCCAGATTCCCCTGATTCACCGGATTCACCAGATTCACCGGATTCGCCGGATTCACCAGATTCACCGGATTCGCCGGATTCACCAGATTCATCGGATTCACCAGATTCAGCGGATTCACCGGATTCACCAGTTTCACCGGATTCACCAGTTTCACCGGATTCACCAGACTCAGCGGATTCACCGGATTCACCTGACTCTTCAGACTCATAGCTTTCATCGGAACTCTGCCCTGATCCGCTATAAGCACTCGAGTCTGTAAATAACATGTACCAGTTTCAAAGAAACATTAATGGGTAGACACTTTTGGAATGACATAATGCAGTTTGTTTTCGTTGTGATTTTGTGTTCGTCATTATTTCCTAAGTCATGATTCTTAATTGCTTTTAGTCTATTGTCACCTTAAACATATTCTTTTTACCAAGTGCATGTGCTTGTTTCTGGTTCGCGCCGAAGAGGCGAAAGATGAGTAGTGTAATTCCCTTTTGCTACATTCGCTTACTCTAACATGTGCTGGTTAGATGTATGGCGGAGAATACCGCAGTCTAGAAGCTTTCCGGAAGATCTATCTCTTATTTTTCAAGTCATTTACTCAAGCGAATTTGTAGCAGTCCTAATTCAGTCCATCCGGGTCAACTCAGTGGGGAAAAGCGTGTATCCGCTTGTGATGTCACAAACACGGGCTTAAAATCTTACGTTCACCGTGCTTATCAAAACGAGGAAAAATTGGACTCAAAGGATGGGGGTGTTATTCAGCCGAGCAAAAGTATAATTATGAGTCACGATTTTTGTAGTTGTCTTTTTCGGCAGATCACTTTGACCATACCTTTTACACTTTCGTTGTCGTCTCTTGAAATTTCATCTCTCTTTGTGACCTCGGTTTCTCCAGACTCGGCCGATTCATCGCTTTCACCACTTTCTCCAGATTCTTCGCTTTCACCACTTTCATCTGCTTCTCCAGATTCGCTCCCTGATTGGTCCGTCCCCTGAGCTTCCTCCGACTGGTCGACCTTGATTGTCTTAGCTGATTCGTCAGATTTCTCCGGTCTGTCGGTCTGACTGGTTTCTTCAAGTTTGTCGGACTCTGCAGCTTTCTCTGGTAGGCCAGTCTGTTTGTTTTCAACTGATTGCTCATTGTCTTTAGATTTAGAATCATCTCCAGATCCATCAGATTGTTTGTCTTCTTGTGAGGCGCTGGATTGACTGGCATCACCTGATGCATCTGATACTTTTGTGATTTCTTTTATGGCTGCAAGATAACATGAGATTGAAAACGTACTTTGGATATATAGAGAGGTATTTAACAGTTTGGAGTTACAGGAGACGCAGAGCTCTATTAATATTAGTTAGCTCGCTGAACTTTGAAATCAAACGGTCCGGGCTCGAACCAAGACGCTTTACTGTCGAATTATCTCTCCAGTTAGGTGTAAACTGAAATGGAGGCTAGCGAATTTTACTTTAGGAGTAACCCTATGATAGACAAGCATCACATCTTGGAGGGAATAGAAATAATCCTAAACTCCAGCCTTACGGAACACCCGACCCTTTCCAAACTTTACCGATCAGTTTCCAGAGGTTTAATCTTGCTCTTAAGTAGACAATCAATTTCTAATGTTGTACACTACACTTCTAACTATCGAAAAAAATTTACCTGTAATTGCACGACACCCTCTTGAAATACAAGAGCCAAACTACAAACAACCATATAAAATGTGTAACATACCTTTCTGAGTTTCCGTCGGTATCTCGCTCCTCTTGGATATCGAGCTATCACTTGATTCACCAGATTCCTCATAATCTCCTGAATCTCCAGACTCTTCAAACTCCCCGGATTCACCAGATTCTTCAAAGTTCCCGGACTCACCAGATTCTTCAAAGTTCCCGGATTCACCAGACTCTATAAAGTCCCCGGATTCACCTGATTCTTCAAAGTCCTTGGATTCACCGGATTCTCCAGATTCCTCCGACTCGCCAGATCTTTGGTAGTCCCCGGATTGAGCAGAGTCTTCCGCCTCACCTGAGGCACTCGATTCATCGTTTTCCTTCGCTTCTGAAATAAATATTGCGGGAATAATCAATGACATGTCTTCCTACCTTTATTGCTGAATTAAATTAGCAGGTAACCTAAAGGAACCATTATCAAGGTAAAGGATGAGATGGTCAGGATCCTGCATGAATGTAACATCTGCCAGAGTGGCAGATGTTACAGAATGCATGTGTCCCATGGGTTATAGGACAGACCACAAGGCGGGAATTCCTGGCCTCAGCTCAGTCAGAAGAGTAATGGTGACTCAATCCGGAGATCTTACCCAGAAAGAACTTAAAACACATCCCACCAATATAAGTCATGTTCAAGGATTTGACGCCAAAATCAAGGTTTCTATCGGCTGATGGACAGCAAAGAGCTGAGTCAAACTTAAGTCGTTTAAACCCTAAGAGGTCTATCAAAGTCAATCAAAATTGAAAGCAGATTGGTCCTCATTGCGTAGCCTCGTGTGGCTAATCTTTTAACTGACGAATATCTATAAAACTGATTTATTGCCCGGTGTTTGATATTTTTTCTGCAATAACACACGTAAGACCTTGCGTGTAATCGCATGTCCGAGGGACTCCTACATGCATCAGGCGATAGTTGGTACAAGTGCAGCAAATCAGATTGTGAGTTTGCCAATAGTCCACTAATTGTATGTTGGCTAAATGCTAAGACTTTTAGCATAGCCTCTCGGTGTACCGACCTTGGTCTTTTGGAATTTCATCCCTTTTGCTAATATTCGATTCACCAGACTCCTCAGAGTCCTCATAATCCCCTGATTCCCTTGATTCACCACTTTCTTCCCAGTCTCCGGACTCTTCGCCTTCTCCGCTCTCTTCAGAAGATCCACTCTCTTCTGACTCAACCACTTCTGTTGTTCCGGAGCCACTGTTCCCCTTGCTGTCTTCTACTTTAGTGGTAGCTGTTTCTGTAAAAAAGAAATAATTTTTGGCGAGCTAATCAAAAGGACGGAAGCTTTGTAATTTTTAAAAACAAACTCGGTTTTGCTTTAGTTTTGTCTTTAAGAGCGACTAACAGTCACTCAGTCTTTTACGTGACTACAACTGGTCGCATTAACACGAGACCTGCAAGGCTAACGTGATGGGGTATGCTCTAAATATAGACATTTTGTGCTCTTTAATAGCTCTCGCTCGTTTCAGAAATCAATGACCTTAAAAGTCATGTAATGACCACCATACCTTTGTCTTCTTTTGGTATTTTACTTCTTTTCACCAAGTCCGTGTCCTCTTCTGATTCGTCTCCGCTTTCACCCGATGCTCCGGATTCATCGCCATAAGCCGATTGACCGGACTCACCAGATTCACCTGACTCGGCAGCATAGCCTGATTCACCTGACACGCCGGACTCACCGGATTCACTCGACTCGGCAGCATCTTCCGATTCACCGGACACTCCACTTTCACCAGATTCGCCAGATTCATCAGAATAGCCAGATTCCGCTGATTCTCCAGAATCGCCCGATGCCGAACTTTCGTCGTCCGATCCCGAAGTTACTTTAGCATCTTCGGCTTTCTTCGCCTCATCTTCCGCTGTGGCGGTTTTCGGTTTGTTACCCTCCGACTCTCCTTGACTAGAGTCACCAGATTCTTCAAAATCCTCTGCATCCCCAGATTCTGATGTGGAACCGGAACCATCCATTTCTTCTTCCTCATCGTCGCCATCTCCAGTCTCATTAACTTAATCACGGGAGATAAGAACTCTCGTCATATTTTCAAATAACATAACAAGAAAAATATACAGTCGGAACAATTGTTTGCCAATTTGACTCGGCATAAATCATCAGTTGTCTGAAGAAGGTTGTCATAGCAAGATGTTAAAATGCGAAAGAGTATTATCATTGGTAGTGGTAGTTCGACGCTGTTAGATCGGAGGTTACAATGTTTCAGCGCCATGTAATGAAGAAATCATAACCTTCGATTAAGTGATGGCCAACTTTCACCCATAATAACGTTCTACAGCTCGGGTATCACGTTGGTGTTTATACCTGGAAAACCTTTCAAGAAAAGTGTCAATTTCTGAAAAGGAACTAATCACTACAGTAGGACTGTTCTAGAGAAAAGGAAAATAATAATAGGAAGCCAATCACAGAATAAAGCATGTTTTGCCTTTATCACAAAGTTGATGCGAGCTTGAAAGCAGGTCCCGTCATTGGGCGCCATTTGTTATGATGTACTGACGTTCACGTCGTCTTAAAACGACTGCCATATCTATTTGATTGCAATATCATTAGACAAAACTAACACATTTCCTTTTAGTGTTTTCCCCTTCTCGTTTTCTGAATCAAGTGTCATAATTTGTAGTACCTTCTTCAAACACTTCTGTGGGAATGACGTTTCTTTTGACATCGTCACCAGATGATTCCACATCTTTTGTCGACAAAGCAACTTCTTTCACTTCTTCGGGCTCATCTGATGACGAGCCCTCTCCGGATCCACTAGAGATCGGGTCTGAGGATTCGTCTGATTTTACTGTTTCAGAAGTTTCCGTCTTTTCTGATGATTCGGCATCATCGGGCTTAAATATTCTTGGAATGTCACTTCTTTTGGAATATTCTAAACAGATATATAAAGCAGTTTAGCGCTGCTACTTAATTTTCTACCACAATTTAAACGAATGCTGCAGTATATTTCAGCGGTGGCCTCATGGTTAGTGCGCTCGTCTCCGGATCGAGCGGTCCGGGTTCGAGCCCTGGCCGGGGACATTGTGTTGTGTNGGGGTAACCCTGCGATGGACTAGCATCCCATCCAGGGGGAGTAGAAATACTCCTAGTCGCTTCATGCTACAGAAACCGGGATAAGCTCCGGCCTGATGGCCACTTGGCTCGCATGCAGACTTTACCTTTACCTATTAATGACTACAAAAGCAAAAAGTGAGCCATTTGATTCATTCAGTACCTTCGGCACTTCCACTCACGGCACTCTCTTGGGAGTCATTCTCGGTCGCAGATTCTTCTCTACCTCCAGAAGCTACCGAATGAACGTCACCAGACGTTTCGCTTTCAACAGCGTCTGCTTTTATACTATCAGCGGTTTCTTTTGTTTCTGTTTCATAAGCAGGTTGTACTTCTAACTTGCTTTCTATTGGAATAAAACTTCTTCTTTTCTTTGTAAGTTCATTATCATTCTTGTCGATAATTTTATCTGTAGTTTCTGCGTTGCTTGTGTCGGGAATTAAGCTGCTCACTGTGTTGGATGGCTTTGTTTCTTCGCTGTCCTCTTCGTCTGAAAAATCAAGTAACTGGCGTAAGAGAGAGTCCGCTGGGGTTTTTAGGTAAGGAAATTCGTTGCTTAGACCCAAAAACAACTGATAGCTACGGAGTTTATTGTATCCTTACCCGGTATTTCCGAGCGACGAGTTTTGTCTCCATCCAGAATTGCGTCCACTATAGCAGAAATTATTGTTCTAACTGCAGAAAAAGGAAAATTTATTCAACATGTAATAATTGCTAGGTGGATTCTTCACACTCATCTTTCAAATTAATATCAGGTGTAAATATAATTTCAATGTTCTCCGCATAGTGATGGCTGTCAATCATCATTACCTTCTTTGTCGGCTTCTAAGTCATCAGCTCTTTTTTCTCTTCTCCCTGTGGACGCAAGATATGAGTCGATTATTATTAGATAAAAAGAGGCTTTGTCTTTGCTTATAATAATGAAAAACCTCGACGAAATTGTTCTGAAGAGTGGAAGTAATGCAATAAAAAGGGGGAGGTTGACATTTTGGAAGGTTAAGTTGAATCAAGTTGTTGGAATTGCAACCGCCTTAACGAATGGTTCCTTTTAGCACAACGAGCTAGGGAGCTTTGGTTTTGGTTTATTACTGGCTGCAGATATTTTTTCAATCTATGTCGTTATCGCCCTCATTTTCTACTTGATTCTCCTGACTGAGAAGTATGACTAATATCTTCTTGTCAGTTTGTGATCAACCAGCAAGGACATGATCAAGTCTTAAAGGTTTTGGTCATAAAACTGTGCTCAGTTTATCGGCGATATTCCTTGAACCTTTTTAAACATTCACACTAATTTCCAATCCGCGACAAATGATGCAGCATTTAATTTGGCCCTCTCCAACACTAAGCACTCTCGTTAATTACTGGAGTTTCCTCAGATTTGTCATGTTTAAAGCACGTTTTTTACAAGTAATCAGGTGCTGAATGCGAACAGAATCTCAGCAACGTAATTTTTTTTTTCAGTTCAGTCGCTATCGTGGATGCTTGATTTGTAGAATAAGTTTTGATTTAATACTCTGTCACATTTCTTATCAGTTTGTTCGTAAAATTTTTAAACTTATCAGACCTTGGAACTTGTGTTGATGTAATTGTGTTATTTCAATGAACTATTCGTTCACCGATTTGCAATGCCTCGGGGTTACCATAGAGACACCAAGAAATGAAATACGTCTATATCTAACTATTTTCGTGACTAAAAAGACATCGTTCACAAATGGGGAACCCCATTGATTCAGGGCAGAATAGTTTACGAAAATAATGTCAAATAACATTGTAATCCAGACACGATTAGCAAACTATGACGGGGAGAAAATTTATGATATGATGTGCTAGTTTATTTCGTTCTTACAAATTGCTGGCACGCATTATGATGGTTTTACGTCTCAGTATTGGTGTTTCTAAAGGGCGTGTTTCACTGCTAGGCAGGTGCTCAGTTCCAGCGGGCTTCTAGAGCAGTTTCCTTTACATTCAAACATGACTGTTCACGTACTGAGCCGCACATCCAATGGCGTACACTGTCATGCCTTTAAACATGCCTTAAAGACGATGAAGTAAGCTCTAAAAGGCGGAGGATTTAATGTGCACTCTTGGTTAGTCTCCCAGTCCCAAGGCTGACATTACATGAGCTTTATGTCTTAAATGAAGGTGGTAAAGGAAGTTTCCTCCGGTTAGGTGCTAAAGCGGACCGATTTCCTTTAAAGCAATTTCTTTATCGGTCTGCTCATCGACATAGAAGTGTAGAATCATGTAAAGGACGATTCAATTTAAAAATACGTTGTTTTTCTAATATAAACTAGTTGTCATAGTTAAAGTTGTCTTTTACTTTGGAGGTTAAGAAAAGCCATACATTCATGCATAGACATGATTTTGACTATACGACCTACACTCTCCTACAAATCGATATACCCTCCTGTAGACCCTGATGCGTTTAAAACCAAATATCTACGGGAGAATACCATAAAAACGTTTCATTAAAAATGTTTTAAAAAGATCTGGCTTTTCTTCTTTGAAACTATTGTTGTGACGAACTTTAGAGTGAGTTGAACTTGTCTAAACTGGTGCTCTAACAGCATGTATTACAGGTAGCTGGGTCAATGAAATTCACACAGACACTTCGCGTAATCGAATTGTTTCCTTATATCGATTCCTCTCATTTTGAATTATTGTAACAAAACTACAAGTCTTCCTTGATTTAATTTTGTTCCTTTGTACCCCATTTTTTTTCTTTTAATAGTTCGGAGACATACCAAATGTCATCAACACCTAGAGGAGAGTAACACCTTTCATAAACTGTTCAATTTTGCTCCGATTCTTAATTACATAAGCCCGAAGCTAATTTAAACCCGTTAAAACAACTGAAATAATTTGTTAATCCTTCATTTGCCCAACAACGACATGAAATCGAGAGGTTTTCTGGGTGTGTTCCACCTGACATGTTCAGACACGCTGACCCATGGTACCAACGACCAAAGGTGGCAGTTTACACCGCCATTTCGTGTCATGAGTCGTATACCTTGACTGATTTGGAGAAAAAGTGCTATATAGTGAACTAATCCTTGACTAATGTTCACCCACTCCGTTCGTAAATCAAAATTTGAAGTCTGAACACATGCCTACGAAATATAATCTTCGTCAGCAATCGTTCAACACTGTTATTAGTGAACGCCTTTCCTATGAAAATGTTTTCATGAAAGCGTCCTGGAATTAATTCACCTTCTATGATACCAATTAAATAACTGACTTATATTGTCCAACGTTTAATGTCTGTTTTCTTTCTGCACTACAAAGAGTACTTTAGCCAGGTACCATTTGTGTTGGAACAAGCCATAGGCTCTGGACATATTTAATTTGTGAGTTAGGAAAACTCAGCCTTAACAATGGCTGAGTTTGTCTGTCTCCTAAATATTACGCGACAGAACGAACGTAAATTAACGGCTAAAACACTCCAGATAACTAAAAGCTCTTCAAAGTTTTCGAGTCACGTTATCTCAGCTTCTATTTCTGTTCATGGCCAGCTACATATTTAATGAACTCAACAATCACAACTAATTGGATAAAGGAGTTCTTTATGCTTCCATCGAACACAACAGTCGCTGGGAAAGAACGAAATTTAAGCCGTTTTTTCAGTTTGATCGCTCAAAACAAGTTGTTTTAAAGAATAGTGTGAAATGTAATCGGATTATGGCCACCATACAATCGCGTCCAACTTGTTTTGAGTTCGATCTCTGATCTTAGCCAAAAATATTGAAAATAAAAAGCTTACTTACGTGAAATCGGCGACGCCTGGGAAAACCATGCCAGGCAAAGAATAAGAAGTACACCAAATTTCATCTCACATGAGATAAAGCCGTCCTTAGACGACGGAACTGAACGCGAAATATTCTGATATTTCTCTCTCACATTTACCAGTCAAAAGCTATCTCAGAATATTAAATCAGGCCAAGATTGTCTTTAAGCGGACCACCCGCAGCAGACGAGGATGGAAGCCTGGAGCATTGCCTACTTCGCCAATGACTTCATAGGTTGTAAAGGGTCGGAAGGCGTCGCAATTCTATCCAATCAGAAGGTCGTTCGACTACGTTATCCATATTTGGAAATAAGGTCTACCATTGATTTGCAGACAATTAAAGCGTGCACCAAAAGTATTTGTTTTGGGACCAAATGGAAAAAGCGTGAAGCTCGTAACTTTCGTTTAGACAAAAAGCCCGTCCACTCGTAAACGTTATACAAATCAACTCTATGGTAACAATGTTTCTCTTCCAAATACGCGGAGAACAGATTTATAATCGGTTTTTAAGCGTTATCCATCGCTGCATTTCTTAAACAAAATCTAAAACTATTGATCGGTCAATATTTGCACTGCTTCTAAACACGAGCAATCTCAAGAGGTCAGCTGGTACCAGTAAAAAACTTCACGGTTCCTTCCCTTCAGCAGGTGGTACATTTTTATTATGTCATTTATACAAGCATTACCGTGAGGTCTTTGCTCTTTTAAACTTTAAAATGCGACGGTGATGTAATATAGAGGCAAATTTTGCGCCAGAAAATGTTTCTTTTTCTTTCTCTTTCCAGTGTTATTTCGTTCTGATGTCTTATTATTTGGTTATTTTATTAGGTCCAGAGTGGTTGATTTCCTCGAGTAACCAACCGTGACTTCTCATGAGAGCTGTCAAATGAACACACTCCAAACCTCTTGACGCATTACAGGAGGTAAAACAGTTGTCTCTAAGTTGTGACAAACTAAAACGGATGCGTTTTGGTTTGTAATTTCTGAAACACCTCTAAGACAATGACAGATAATAGAAAAGAAATAAAAAGATAAAAATAAAGACAAAATAGAAAAAAGGTTCTGATTAAACCATTTCTCTAAAAAAAAATCATTTATTGGAGTTTCCAGGGCTGAAAATTTTCCTGAAATATTACCATTTATTTCCGCTCAGAGTTCACTGTTTGGTTTTCAAATAATTTGGTACTGAAGGAATGTTCCAAATTTTTGGAGTGAGAATAAGGTTTGTAAGTGTTTTGTATTTTGCTCTTAAAATCGTCAAGGATGAAAATTAAGAATCAAATCAAACAAAAAGTACTGGAATAAGTTTGTTGGTGTATTGGGAACACCCCACATGTTGACAAAACGTATTAAATTTACTAGAAAAACAAATTCATAAACAAATCCCTGTCTAAATTGTTTTTGCAAACTCTCCAAAAGGACGACCGTTACTTTGTTACTTGAATGTTGATTTAATATGTTTATTCAATTGGTATTAACTCAGATCTAATTATCAGGTCTAATTACTGTGATCTATGTTGCTTAATATCTATCTCTAATTTCAGTGGCTACAAACAGTAATTTCTTTTTAAAGGAGCAGCTCCATCAAAAGCTACCAAAGCGCGAGATTCATTGTTGTCAGTTTAAACCCACTTATTTTCCACCTCATTACTTCAGAGATTGCCCACACACTTGTTGCGCTTGGATGGCTGGGTATTCTTTAAATGCACAACACCCTGAGCATTCGTCGAGTAAGCTGCATGGGAAAGCATTAGCAAGAACACAGAAGCTGCCAATGCCAGGTTACGCGTATAAAAAATTAAAACTTGCCGTTATTTAGCAAAAGCGAGAGATTTTTAACAATTATTCCATGAGCGCACGTTAGAAATGAGATAGTAGATAACCAACGAGGCGCGAAGCGCCGAGGTACCTATTACATCTCATATCAACCAAGCACAAGTCGAATAATCGTTTTATTAAAAATAAAAATAAAATAAAAGTAAAAATGTCTCCAAAGATTTCGGGTACACTTACCATATTTGTAGAGCATGGTATAATGGATCATATACCAAGATGGCTAAGCCAATGAAAACTCTTGAATTACATTATTCGATGATCCAGTTTTTAATAATTAGAAAACAGAGCACATAAATGATAATCCAGCTTAGTATAAATTTACCATAGTCTTTTGTAAATCCGTTTATTTGATTGGCTCTGTTACAGTTTCCTGCAGTACGCAGTAGACCGCTCCTTCTATGGGTTTACCGGTACAATAAACCCACGCTGAATGGAGGGGGAACACGAGAAAAGTAATAGTTTTATGAACCCAAGTATTTTTTTATTGCTTTTATGAAATAAGTTTGCCAAGAGAGGGAAATAAATTGTACTTTTGCGATCAAGTTCCTTATTCTCAGCAAATTCATGAGATGACGCGGCAAACCAATCTCAGCGAGTGAAAGAATGAAAGCGCACAGTCAGCTCCAACAAAAAAAAGATTAGGTTGTATTAAGGTGGCTCCATAGGGTAATCATTTATGGCGTTGCGCACGCAAGTGTT